TTTTTTTTTTTTTTTTTTTAGATTCTGCATATAAGTGAAATCATACAGTATTTGTCTCTCTCTAACTTATTTCACTTAGTGTAAAGCCCACTAGATTCTTCTATGTTGTCACAAATGGTAGGATTTCCTTCTTTTAATAGCTGAATAATATTCCATTGTATATATTTACCATGTTTCCTTTATCCATTCATCTGTTAGTGGATACTTAGGTTGTTTCCATGTCTTGGCTGTTGTAAATAATGTTGCAGTAGGTTTTCGGGAGGAAGACCACTGAGGTAAAGTGCCATTTTCATCACAGTATATCAAGGGCACAATTTATCAATGTGATTTATGACTGTTAATGTTGACCTTGATCACCTAACTGGCTGTGGTGAGGGTACAGATATCTCTTTGAGATAGTGATTTTATTTCTTTTGGATATATACCTAGAAGGGGGATTGCAAAGAAATAAACTAAAAAAGCAATCTATAAAATGGGAGTAATTGTTTGCAAATCATATACTATCTGATACGTGGTTAATATCAAAAGTATATGTTAGGAACTCATAAAACTCAATAGCAAAAAAAAAAAAAAAAATCCAATCAAAAAATGGGCAAAGGGGCCGGCCGAGTGGCGCGATGGTTAAGAACTGGCTTGGGACCCCGGTTCGGATCCCACATATGAGGGACAGTTACACTGCTCTCCACAGCTAAGATGCTGAACAACAGCTCAACCTGGAGCTGGGCTGCCGGGAGTCACCGGCTGCAGCCTCTGCTGCAGTGAGTTGCCATGGGCTACCGTATGTAGCCAGCAGCCAGCGTGAGCGGCCAGCAGCCGCAGTGAGCGGCCGTCTAGACGCCGGCGACTGATCTGCCTCACCTGGGAAGAGCGCAATGATGGTTCCAACTTGGGCCAGTGAAGCAACGTCCTCCACAACTAGACTGAAGACCAAAACGACAGCAACTTGTCTGTTCCCCTTCCCCAATTCCCCAGCGCTGTTCCCATCCCCCCAATTCCCCAATAAAAAATCTTTAAAAAAAAGAAAGGGCAAAGGACCTGAATAGACATTTTTTCATATGAATCATATGGTAGTTCTATTTTTAATTTTTTGAGGAGCTTCTGTACTGTTTTCCATAGTGGTTGTACCAGTTTACATTCCCACTAACAGTGCACAAGGGTTTACTTTAGTTATCTCTTATCTTTTTGATAATAGCTATTCTAACAGGTATGTGGTGATATCTCGTTGTAGTTTTGATTTGCATTTCCCTGATGATTGGTGATGCTGAGTACCTTTTCATGTACCTGTTGGCCATTTGTATCTTTGGAAAAATGTCTATTCAGGTTCTTTGCCCAGTTTTTAATTGGATTGTTTGTTTTTTGCTATCAAGTTGTATGAGTTCCTAATATATATTTTCTATATTAACCACTTACCAGATATTGGGTTGTCGGAAAAGTCATGATGCATTTTTGCAACGAAAAACATAGAAAAAATATGTTATGACTTTTCCAACAACCCAGTAATATATGATTTGCAAATAATTTCTCCCATTTTGTAAGTTGCCTTTTTATTTTGTTAATTGTTTCTTTGCTATGCAGAAGCTTTTTAGTTTGATTTGGTCCCATTTGTTTATTTTTGCTTTTGTTGCTTGTGCTTTTGGTGTCATGTCCAAAAAATCATTGCCAAGACCAGTGTCAGTTTTACAATTTCAGGTCTTACATTTAAGTCTTTAATCCATTTAAAGTTAATTTTTGTGAGTAGTATATGATAGAAATCCAATTTAATTCTTTTGCATGTGAACATCCAGTTTTCCCAATACTGTTTACTGAAGAGACTATCTTTTCCCCATGGAATATTCTTGGCTCTGTTTTCAAATATAGTTGACATGTTATGTGAGTTTTTATTTCTGGACTCTCGATTTTGTCCCATTGATCTATGAGTATTTTTATGCCAATCCCATACTGTTCTGATTACCATAGCCGTGCATTATAGTTTGAAATCAGGAAGTGTGATGCCTCCAGCTTTGCTTTTCTTTCTCAAAATTGCTTTAGCTTATTCCAGGTCTTTTGTGGTTCCATACAAATTTAAGGATTTTTTTTTCTCTTCTATTTCTGTGAAAAACTCCATTGGCACTTTGATAGGGATTGCATTAAACTTATAGATGGCTTTAGGGATTATGGATATTTTAGCAATATTCTTTCAGTCCCTGAAGACAGGATATCTTTCCATTTGTGTTTTCTTTAGTTTCATTCATCAGCATCTTATAGTTTTTAGTGTATAGATCTTTTACCTCCTTGGTTAAATTTATGCTACTGTGAATAGGATTGTTTTTTGAATTTCTTTTTCAGTTTGTTGTTAGTGTATAGAAACACAACAGATTTTTGTATATTGATTTTGTATACTGCAACTTTACTGAATTTGTTTATTCTTTTTTTTTTATTGGGGGATGGGAACAGCGCTGGGGAATTGGGGGAAGGGGAACAGACAAGTTGCTGTCCTTTTGTGCTTCAGTCTAGTTGTGGAGGATGTTGCTTCACTGGCCCAAGTTGGCACCATCATTGCGCTCTTCCTGGGCGAGGCAGATCAGTCACCGGCTTCTGGATGGCCGCTCACTGCGGCTGCTGGCCGCTCACGCTGGCTGCTGGCTACACACGGTAGCTCATGGCAACCCACTGCCACAGGGGCTGCAGCCTACAGCTGTCGCTGGTGACTCATGGCAGCCCAGCTGCAGATTGTGTTGTTCAGCATCTTAGCTGTAGAGGGCAGTGTCACTGGCCCTCATATGTGGGATCCGAACCGGGGCCCTCTGGCGTCCCAAGCCAGCTCTTAACCAACGTGCCACTCGGCTGGCCCTGAATTTGTGTATTCTAACATTTTTTTTGGTGGAGTCTTTAGAATTTTATATATGTAAGATCATGTCATCTGCAAACAGAGACAATTTTTTTTTCTTCCTTTCTTATTTGGATACCTTTATATTTCTTTTCTTGCCTGATTGCCCTGGCTAGGACTTCTAGTACCATGTTGGATTGGAGTGATGACCTTGGAATTCTTATTTCCTTATTTCCTGTTTTAACCATTTTAAGTGTATAATTCATTGACATTAACTACATTCACCCTATTGTGCAGTCATCAGCACTATCCATTTCCAGAACTTTTTTTGTCATTCCAAACAGAAACTCTGTACTCATTAGACAATAATTCCCTGTTCTCCATCCCACATGCCCCAGCCTCTGATAATCTGTATTTTACTTTCCTTTTTAGATTGTTTGTTGCTAGTGTACAGAAATGCAGCAGATTTTTGCGTGTTGATTTTGTACCCTGCAACTCTGCTGAATTAGTTTATTAGCACTAATAGTTTTTTTGTGTAATCTTTAGAGTTTTCTACATCACATCATCTGTGAACAAAGATAATTTTACTTCTTTCAATTTGGATGTCTTTTATTTATTTATTTATTTATTTATTTATTACATAATTGCTCTGATTAGAACTTCCAGTACTATGTTGAATAGAAGTGGTGAAAGCAGGCATTTCTGTCTTTTTCTTGATCTTAGAGGAAAAGTTTTCAGTCTTTTATCATTAAGTATGATGTTAGCTATGGGTTTTTCATATGTGGCATTTATTATATTGAGGAAGTTTTGTTCTGTTCTTAGCTTATTGGGTGTTTTTATCATGAAAGCATGTTGAGTTTTTGTCACATGCTTTTTCTGCATCAGTTGAGACAATCATGTGTTTTTCCCCGCTTCATTCTGTTAATCCAAATACAGTCATCCCTTGGTATCTGAGAGGGATTGGTTCCAGCACAGCCCCACTCTCCCTCGGTGGATACCAAAATGCTCAAGTCCCTTGTACTATAAAATGGCCTAAAACAATGCATACAGTTGGCCCTTGGCATTTATGGATTCCCAACCACAGATTGAAAATACTGTTTTCTTTCTGTGATAGGTTGAATCTATGAGGCGAAACCCATGGATACGGAAGGCTGACTGTATGCGTTTGATCTTTGCTTTCCCTTTTTTTTCTGCTGGACTTATAAATGCCTAGCTTACTCCATGTTCTAAGTCAAGTTAACTGAAACTAATGGTGATATAGTGGTGGATTTGTTCTAGGAATTAATGAATAGTTAGATGTAGTTTTTCTCACTAGCCTGAGGTTTCTGATCTGCAACAGTTAATATATGTACTTTCCATATGAACTCTTCAGCTTTTTGTATATAAATTGACGCCTAGGATATGTTTATGAAATGAAGAAAAAGTAAAATGACTTTGTACTTAAGTTGCTTCTCTTTCAAATTAAACCATGTTACAGGGTTCCTGTACTCAAAAGAAGTTGCTCCATATATAACAGTAGAAATTGGCCTTGGTAAAAATTGTGTTCCATGTTAATACAGGATTCCAATACAGTGTAGTGTAAATGAAATTTTAAAGTTTTACCTGGAGAAGCACCAGCTTGTACAGCTTAAATTACTGGTGATGGTGTTGGTGCAGGTCAGCATGTGCAACTAATGAAAGCATAACCTGAGTTTACTGTTTGTAGCAGAAAGATTTCTGTTGCCTGAGGTTTAAAGGGACAAAGAAAAGTGACTCACTAAGTGGGGAAAGAAGTAGGGAAATACTAAGTATGTGAGGAGCACAAATGAAGCATTATCTATTCTTTAGACTGCTGGAGTAAAGCCAAGATTGGACATTATAAAGTCAGAAGCTCTTTAAGCTTTTAAAACTGTAGCTTTTTACTAAAATGGTGACCAGAATCGCACCACTTGTAGTGAGCAGAGGGCTGAGTCTCAGGTCACAGCAGAAAAACGCACAAAGATCATTTCAATGTTACCTCCCAAGTTTCCTACAACTTTTCTTGTCTTTCTAAGTTAAAAAGCAAATCAAGTGGTTTTTTTTGAGATAAAAGTTAATTTTAAAGCAGTAGAAAAGAGAATCTATTCATTCTTTGTACTATTCTCTATTAACTAGTTTCTTCCTATTCTTAAAGTAACTTAACATTTCCTTAAATTCCCATTTTGTTCCCATGTCTTTACTTTGGTTGGTATTTCAGTAAGTTTGTGGTGTTCTCAAATTTTATCTCAGTGGATAACTATTAAAATATAACATCCAAATTCTCCGTTTCATTTTCCTCTTAGGCATGAATCATACAAAACTCAATATAGAGCAATGTTTGTAATGAATTGTTCTGTCAACAAAGAGGAGGTTCTAAGATACAAAACCCCAGAGAACAGGAAGAAAAGGCGAGGCCGTAAGAAGATGAGGCCTGACCATGAAGATGTTGCAGAGCAGGCGGAGACACAAGTGGAAGAGATCTATCACCCAGTTATGTGCACTGAATGTTCCACTGAGGTGGCAGTCTACGACAAGGACGAAGTCTTTCATTTTTTCAATGTTTTAGCGAGCCATTCCTAAATAGCCATGTTGGCATTAATTGCCCAATGCTGTATATAGGCAAATATGGACAGTTCTTTTCCTCCTGCCTCTTCACATCAAGTGACATTCTGAATGGTTATTTGAGGAAGCAGTGTTTTATCTTTTGGAAAGAGAATGGTTATCAACCTTCATCCCTCCCCCTTCTCTTGAAAGAATTTTTCCTCCACTCTCATGGGACTGATTATTCATTCATTCCCTTTTTGTTAGACTTTGGAGACTTGGGGCTTTTTATTTATTAAAACTCTTTAGAATTAAAATGTTCTGGAGTTGTAAGTAATCTTTGTTTCAGAGTGTTATTTTTATTTTTTATTTTAAACATATCCTTGGTGTGATTAAGCTAGAAACTATTTTCTGACTTCTGTCTGTATTGGTTTTGCTAATGATAAGTATTTTTATTTCCCGTCTGCTCTATGAAGTGATAGTATTTGGCAATTTAGCAACTGTTACAGTGACATGGAGTTGGTATTGCTGGGTGCCTTGAATGATTAATATAGGCCTTTCCTTAAAAGGATTGTACTTACCAGTATTCTAAACCGGTGCATGAATTAACACAGTGAAATAGAAACTTGTGGTAAGGAAGCGCAGTCTCACCCTCCAGCCTTAGACTTAAAACCCTGTTGCTGCCCCTTGTGTCTACTCTTTATTCTGGAATTTCTGTTGCCAGCAACCAAGGTATTCTTATTTTATTATTATTATTATTAATTAACATAAAAATCATTAGTGGCAGGTTGGAAGAAATTACCTTGTAGGCATTTGTACATTTTAGCTTTTTAAAAGAATATGATTGAACTGTTTCCAAAAACATTAGGAAACTCAGGGTCCTCTTGTTCTTCTAATAGAGATGTGATTGAGTAGAAAGAAATCAGGAAATATGTTTTAATTCAGGCTCTACCATGATAATCTTGGGCAAGTCTGTTCCTTTGAGCCCCAGTTTTCTCACCTATAAAATGAAACAAAATTGGACTAGAGCAGTGACTCCCCACAGAGCTCAGGGCTCAACAGAGCTGGAGGGGGACCTCTGCACGCCCCCCCAGAGAATGATAGACTTCCAGAAGGGAAAGCACGTCCTTCCCAACACCTTGCTGCCTGCGCTTTCTGAAAGGTACATATAAGGAGAGCTGGAACCAGTGATGGTACAGTTTGTACAAATTGGGTGGAGGCAGAAAAATGATAAAGATATGCTGGTATCTATCTGATTAGAAGCCTTATATAATATATACTTTTAAATGTTTTAACATATTGCCAGATGATGTGTTACAGAATAACATCACTAGTGTATTTATTTTAACCTTGTGTTTGCCATGTAGCTTTGCAAGATTTATTTCTTATTATTTACTTATTTATTATTATTTTTTAGAGATTTTATTGGGGAATTGGAGGAGGAGAACAGCCAAGTTGTTGACCTTCAATCTTAGTTGTGGAGGGCGCAGCTAGCTCAGCTCCAAGTCCAGTCACGCTGCTCAGCTCAAGATGCTGTATTCAATTATAATAGTTGCGGGTGGGCGTAGCCACCATCCCATATAGGAGTTGAACCAGCAGCCTCGTTAAGAGCACACATTTTATCCACTGAGCCATGCAGGCGGCAGCTCAGCTCAAGGTGCCGAGTTCAGTCTTTAGTTGTGGTCGGGCGTAGTCCACCATCTGGAACAGGCAACCTTGTTGTTAGGAGCACGTGCTCTCACCAGCTGAGCCATCCTGCGACCTGTTGGCAGCTCAGCGGCAGCTCAGCTTGGGTGCAGCTCACTGGCCCATGTGCGAATCGAACAGGTGACCCTGTTGCTCAAAGCTCGCACTCTTGAGCAAGCTCTTAACCAACTGAGCCACTCGGCCAGCCCAAAGATTTCTTTCTTATTGTTATTGCACACCCTTTCTTCCCAGATCCCACAACCACCCCTTTATTGTACCCTCATCTCCACTTCAGGGGGAGGTTCTCAGTGGTCTTCTACATAAGGTCATCTGGGGCAGACATTAAAAAGGCACATTGTTGAGGCCCTACTGAGATTCAATAATAAAAATGAGGCAGGAAATCACGATGTATAAAGATGTAACTTATGACCATAGCAACATAACGGGAGGGACAGGACTGTATAGAAGCAGAGTTTTGTGTTCTATTGTATTGAAGCTAAATGCAAACTAGTTTGTTAGAAATTTAAGATGATAATTGTAATCCTCGGGGTAACTATAAAGATGTTGCAACAAGAAGAAAATTAAAAGTGATCCAAGAATATATTTTATGTATTATAAAACTATGTACAACTATTTTTTTTAAGATTTTTTTTTTTATTAGTTTCAGGTGTACAAAGCAACATAATAGACATTTATGCCCCTCACAAAGTGATAACCCCCCTCCCCCAATCTACTACCCCTCTGACACAGTATATAGCTGTTATAATTCCATTGACTCTATTCCCTATGCTGTACTCCACATTCTGTGAATATATATATATATATATATATATATATATATATA